GCAGACTGCAACTTGAGTTTAGATTGAGCTTCCAGTTCCAGTTGTTGAAAATTTCTGCTATGTAATGATCTCCATGTATCTCTTCTCATTGGTCACACACACACACACACACACACACACACACACACACACACACACATTCACTCCACACACCGAAGAGTGTTCATACCAAAAGGTCAAGTCCATGGACAACTGATAGATTTTATGCCTAGAAGGTAGAAGATTTGATGCCAAATCATTAGAGTTAGGACCTGCAGTTCCTAAGTGGATGTGCCATTTCTCTTTCATTATTTGAAGTCTCTAGTTTCGTCCGTCTTTCCCCGAGCCACTGGTCTTGGTGAAAGGGCACGTACCTGGTTCCTACTTGGGAAGGATCCTGGCTTTTTGGAGTGGGTGCCAAGAAGACCTCTGGATTTGCTTTTAAAATGGCCCTTGGATTAGAGGTATTATGGTCCATTAAACTCAGTCAATGAAACCACATCTTAACACTGGAATTTGTAGCAGGGTGTGGTAGTTTATGCCTGTAATCCCAGTATTCAGGGAGCTGAGGCAGGAGAACTATCACAAGTTCAAGGCCATCCTGGGCTTCATTGTGAGTTCAAGGCCAGCCTGGAAAACAGTGAAACATGGTCTCAAAAAACAAACAAAGGAATTTGTGGCTAGAGATTTATGTCAGTAAATAGTGGGCAGTTCTCCAGACTTGTTCTCTAGCCACATAGTGAGAAAGCTCAACAAATATTTGTCCACTGTATACTCTAACAAAGTTTGCACGTCCTCTGTCATGACAGCAGTGGACAGACAGTAAACCAGTAACCATTTCCTGTAACATCCATGGTGAAAACAGAGCAGGGTAGTAGTGAGCTATTGTACCGGGTGTTCATAAGTGGTCCTCTGTGGATGTGATGGTTAAGCGGAGACCCACCCCAAAAGAAAGAGGAAGCCATATAACTCTCCAAGGTAAGGGTTTTCCAGGAAAACAGAACAGGTAGTACCAAGGCTTTGAGGGAAAAACAAGTTTAGCAAAGTCACACAGACCCGGATGGCTGGAATCCCCTGGTAGAGAGAGCAAGTAGAGACACGGTGGGAGGTGGTGGGGGGTGGGTACCGAAGGCTGTCTCCAACATCTTGACACCCTGCCAGCCCAGGGCTGTCTCTACAACCCTGTGAGCTACTGGGCAATTGAATCTGAGTACAGTTAGATATTTGGATGCTACTAACAATAGCTTGAAAGAATTACTGCAGCTTTTAAGATTTCTGATCTAAATTCAAATAGAGGAAGAGGAGCTGGCAAGCTGGGGAGACTCAAGACTCTTGGGGCTGGTTTGTCCCAGAGCTCTGCCATTTAGCTTCCTTTCTCACTAGCCCCAGTGGGAGGTGAAATTTATTGTCTCCATTAAGAGCACAGGAGCTCATGCTACAGCCTCTAGCACTGGACTCAACGGAGTGGTCCAGCAGGGCTCCTCCAACCCGGGTAATCTCATCCCACTCAACCCAGACAGCCTGCTTATTTTTTAAATGTGATGTTCTGTAATTATAAAATCCCATGTTTATTCTCACATGTATAAAATACCAGCTGAAACTGCAGCCAGTATTTAGATGACTTATATATTTAAAAAGAAATAGGGGATTACTCTTCCCATCAAAGTTGAAATCTTCACTGAGTGTAAAATAAAGATAATATAGACTTTAATATCTATTGGCCTTAAATGGAAACATGACTTAGTCCTAAATAAGCACTTGATTCTATCAAAGATCTATGGTCACGTTTCCCAGATCAGGGGGAGAAGAAGGGGGTGTGGTATGTGATCCTTAGCTCATTTTGCGCCATTCTATGGATGAGCAATTGACTACTACAGGAGCCTTCATTGTTTAAGAACAAATTTGAATGCTTGAAGCATCCCACTTAGGCATAATTTTGCCTTCTGAAGCCACTCAAGGCAGTCTGTCTGCCCAGCCCCACATTGGCATAGCCATTCAGATATGAAGGCAACCCATGTCACTTGGCCCTAATGCCCTGTGCTCCAGGCAGGGCATCCTGAGTCCTCCCAGACACCACCTTTTCAGGCTTCCCGACGTCCAGGAGGGTGTTCTTTGGATGTTCTTCTCCTCTGGTCCAGTAAACATGGTGCCAGATATTAAAAAGGAATCTTCATGCGCTGCATCAGTGGCACAGAGGGACCTGGCATCTAAGCAGTCTTCATTGTTTCCTCCTCACTCAGAATGGTACCCTGCCCCGGGCCCCTTCCTCTCCGCAGGTCCCTTGCTCTTTGCAGTTACCATTGGGCTGTGTCTTTGCTCCCTGTGCTGAAAACATAAACAAACTCAGTATTCAGTAACTAATTTTCTCTTTTGTGCTTCACACCTCCTTTGTTCCCCATCTCTAAGCTTTCTGTGTGAGCCTGTGTTTTTTTTGTAATTCAGCGCCGTGATCAATTATCCCGGGCAATTTCTCCTTATTTAAGAATCCCTGTTCTTTTTCATTAAAGATCAGACAAGAAAACCTCCTCTCACTGGCCAGGTGCACCAGAGCTCTTACTTAGTTAGCCCCAATTTGCCATTTTGCCGTCTGTGCTTAAGATCTGATGCACTGAGGGGCATGATGTGAGGAGCTCATTCTCGCCGAGTGGGCAGCTGGCTCCTCTGCTCTGCGCCCTGCCCTCCCAGCCCTGCTTTCCTCCCAGCTCCTCCCTGGCACCCTGGTCTCTGCTACGTATAAGAAAGCACGGGCACTGAGGTTTTGGGGGGTCCTGCTTCTTTACAAATCCTGACCCAGTTAGGCTTTCTCTCCCACTTCCCAGGTATGTTGGTAACAATTATCCACTTTGTCATTCTGGGGTTGTAAAGGGAGGCTAATGGCCCTTTCTCATTATGTCTAGCTGCACTGAGCTTTTAAAAGTCCTCCCTTCACAGTGTCTCTGTTATTGGTTGATTTTATTTGCTGCTACTATAAATGTGATTTCTTCTTGCTTATTAGACATATCCCCTAAAACATAATAAGAGTTTTTGTTGCTGCATATTGAAGAATATAGATGAGAGGAAAGCGAGCATTCAGAGAGAACGTACACTCTTGAGATAATAACCTGAAATTCCAGTCAGCAGCCCTTTGGAGATGTAAATTGAGGAAACAGCTTTCCTTTTGGACAGCTTAATGATCTGTAGTTAATAGTAGGGGGCTGATGGGCAGATGTGGAACAGCTGGGTTTAGGTTAGCCTTTCTCAGCTCTCCAAATGGCACAGTGATTAGCCCCATTGAGACGCAGAGTGCTGCCCAAAGTCAAAAACCAAAAGCATGAAGACCAGTGGGTTGTCAGCAGCCAATTCTCCATGCACAGACTGGCTGCTCCTCCCAGCCAGTAGCTGATGTGTCCTAACTGAGCCTGCCCTAGACTGGGTAGTCAGCTGCAAGCAAACGGCCACTCCAGGAACGGGGATGAAGACTCCTGGGTTTAGAGCCAACTTCTCCCCTTACATAATGCACACATTTTTCCTCAACTGGGGAGAAACAATGTTTTCTCTTGGCAGAAAATGCAAATCTGAGATCCATACACTACATACTTGCTGGGGTGGGCTTATCTTTGATACATAAAATTGACTCCATTACCAATTGTTCTGGTTATCAGATTTCATTACCATTTCCAACAATGTGCTCTCTTCCTTCAAAAAGCCTAAATGAAGCCAAGTGCAGTGACACATGCCTATAACCCCAGCCAATCAGAAGGCAGAGGTAGGAAAATCACAAGTTCAAGGCCAACCTGGGCAACTTCCTGAAGAATCTGTCTCAAAAAAAAAAAAAGCTGGACACATACACACACATATGCACGTGTGTGGGCACACACACAGTTTAAATGAGTTCAACAATTACAAAAAATAAATAGCCACATTCAAAAATGGTCAAAGGACCCGAATAGATATTTCTTCAAAGAAAATGTAAAAATGACCAACAAACATGTGAAAAGATGTATTACCATCTCACATCTGTCAGGAAGGTTGTTATCAAAAGAGAGACATTTATAGGGTGGGCATGGTGACACACACCTGTAGTCCCAACTGCTTGGGAAGATGAGGCAGGAGAATCCCTTGAGCCCAAGAGTTTGATAACAATCTGGGAAAAACTAAAACAAGAAAGAGAGAAAAAGAAAAAGAGATTGGGGAGAGAGAGGGAAGGGGAGAGAGGGAGGCAGAGAGGGAGGGATGAAATTATAAATGGTGAGAATGTGGAACTGGAGATGTGGAACTGGAGATGGAGTGGTGGACTGGAACATGTTTGCACTGATGGAGTTTAAAATGGCATACAGCCTGTGGAAAGGAATATAGTAGCTCCTCAAAAAGTTCTAAGTGTCTACCCAACAGTTGAAAGTAGAGTCTCAATGAAGTGTTTGTACGGCAGTGTTTCTGGTGGCACTGTTCACAGTAACCAAAAGGTAGAAGCAACCCAAGTGTCCATGGATGGCGGGAGGTCTAAGCAAAATGTGGTCTTCATATACATGGAGTGTCAACCTACCTTCAAAGGGAAGGAAATTCTCCATGCTGCTACAGGGTGAACCCTAACATCACTATGCTAAGTGCAATGAACTGGTAATGAGAAACAAAATGCTGTGTGATGACACGCGTGTGAGGAGCATAGAACAGTCAAGTTCACAGAGACAGGACATAGAATGGAGGTTTCAAGGAGCCGGAGAATGGGCGCTTGTCACTCAGTGTGAAGAGTTTTAGTTTTATAGATGAAAAGATGGTGGCAGCAACTGTACAGCAGTGCAGAAATACTTAGGGCCACAGAAATGATTCTGCTTAAAAATATTTAAGGTGGTGTTTAAATTACCTGTACTTAAGTTATATGTCTTTCAGCACAATTATTTTCTAAAGCATAAGTGAAGTATGCTCTTCTCTCTTAGCAGCTCAGGCTTTGGAGATACAGATTAGGCATAGAGGGGAAAATGCAGCAGAGGGAAAATGGATCTTAGCTTTATGTGACACTAATTACAAATATGCTTTTTTTACAGAGTCATTTTTCTCTCAAAAAGGGAGCTGCCGCCTTGGGGATTGGAACAGACAGCGTGATTCTGATTAAATGTGATGAGAGGTGAGCATGAGCCTGCAGCCTTGTTGGTCAGCAGTTTGCAGTTCACGCAAAGACCTCCTGGTCTGCAGCCGGGCGCCTGTGGGGCAGCAACCCGACCTCCATGGCAGCCAGGGCTGCTTGTGGCTTCTTTCTGCCTGGGCTCTTGCCAGGAGTCCCCAGATGTTCCGCAATGCCATGGAGCCTTTCACGGCCTGTGACTCAGTTGGAACCTTTGTTAAATCAATTGAAATAGTCTCCACCAAGATGGTACTGAAGGACATTTATCACTTGGGCACGTTAGCGACAGCAGGCTGCTGGCGCACTGATTTATGAGAAATTATCACTATAGGCCCCGTGATGATCGTGTAAACTTGATGGGTAACAAGTGGGGGCCAGCTTATGAGCAGGAAGTAAGTAACACCCCAGCCATTCCGAAACTTTGTGCAGGAACCAAAGAGCTCTGCGGGGAAAATCCTTTTCTGAGTTGGCAGTCAAATGCCCTAGGGATGCGGCGATGAGTTGTCGTGCTTCGTGGCGGAGGTTTACAGAGCGTTCAGGCATGTGGAGCATCCCTGGCCTATAGACCGGAAGGTACAAAAAATTAGGCTTAGTCTTTAAAGGGTTAAGGAAGAGCTTTCACTGAATTAAAAGTGATCCATTGAATTAGCCGTTTATTTATTCCTTTCTTCATTAGACAGCAGGGTGCCAATGGCCCATCGTGTCACTAGATGCTAGCAAAGCATAGGGCATCCTCCCAGTCCCCTAGCAGCATCTGCTGTAGATGGGAAGGTGTTAGAAGCATCGGAAGGAGATAAATGTATGGCTCTAATCTGTGGTGCAAAGAACACCATCTGTATATCAGTAAGGCATGGAAACATGCAACAGGTAGAACTAAAGTTGGGTGTTCAAATTGAGGATGAGTCGGATGAGTACAAGGAAAGGCAGGAGTGGTCACAGCTTACTGAGTACCACAGGCAAAGCCACACAAGGAGGTGGGAATGTGGGTGTTGTGGTCAGTGGGCCTGACAGAGCTGGGGGAGTAGAAAGGTGTGGGAAAGGTGTGTACCCAAATGAAGTGAGAGGCCTAGAACTCAGGAAAGAATCACCGATCCAGAACCGGGCCTCTCTGTCCTCACTGTTCCTCCTAGCTAACCTGGTTAGGAGGAGTCACGAGTGGAATTCCAGTGGGTCAGTAAGTGGCCAGGAAGAATGGGGCTTTTCTCTTCTATTCATGAGACTCCTAGGAAAATGCAGGAAGCAAGGAAGAAGAGAGGAAATAGGAAAGGTAAGAAATAAAAGGGGGAGACTTAAGAGGAACACCCTGAGGGAATTGTGAAGCAAGGCAAAGGGGGAAAATGTACAGGGAAATGTGGGCGCAAGCAGGAAGCAAACTAAGAGCTTTCACAAGAATACTTAACCATTTTTGTCATCCAAAACCAACACTTGCTTCCTGGAAACAATAACAGACAATAGTTACACCATCCAGTGGTATCTAAACCCTGGCATCTCTTTTTCTAAATGTACAGGTTTGTTCTTTCTTTTTTATCTTTTTGCTTTCTCTTTATACACTCATGATTTTATTTCTTTTTCTTACTAGACACAATAATGTATTGTCCCACATCCTTGCAAACATAAACGTGCTTAACCGTAATGTCAGACAGCATCACGGTACTTTACAGAGCTGGCTCTGGAGCTGAGCTGTTTGACCTCAGCTGCAGAACCCAGTCTTGGCAAATGCCCCTTTGTGACTCAGTTTCTATATCTGAAAAAAGGAAAAACATAGTAGCACCCCCTTCATAGGATTGTTACAGTGATAAGTGTCAAATATTGAAAATGATACCTAGCATAGGGCAAGTGCAAAGTATTGGAGTGTTGCTATATGTTCCCCTATTTCTGTTATTGCTGTTATAAACAACCTTCCCGTCCTTCAGGGCATATCTTTACATGTTCACAACTCCTCTGTTTATGATTAATTCTTTATATAAATACTAGTTTAAATTATATGGACATTTTAAAATAAAAGATAAGTCAAGCCTAGTTACCTTTTAAAAGTTTCTACCAGTTTATTCTCAAATACTATTGTATCAGAGTATGTTGAGAAAATATTAAAGCTATGTTAGTCTCTACATGTAATCTTCACTTCTACATTGATAGTTCATATAGTCAGTATGAATTTAAGACGAGATCCTGGTCTTGGTGGTTTAAGTGAAACTGAAGTGCCTGGGGTCAGGAGCCAGGACGAAGGCCTTGGCCAATCATGTGTACCCACCATTTCAGTCATATGCAAAACCACTCTTGGCCTCCATTTTGTTTTTGTTATACCTTTGAGAAGATCAGATGTGCAGTCAAAAGCAGTCACTTAAGGCTGGCCAGCTGAGTCCTAACATTCTCGTTTCTCCTAACATGCTTTGTAAAGTTCCTCCAGACTTTACCAAACATGAACTTGGACCCACTCTTTAAGGCTTTCATTTCTTGTAGTTACTCTTTCTAACTCTGCACATTAGTTTAACAGTGAGTGAGGTTTTATCTTGTTCTTTGGTAGAAGTTTCCAATTGAAGGGAAATTTTCTAGTGAAGGAGAATAGTATGCGCCTTTTTAGCAACAAGCCCAAAGCCACATGTGAGAAATGAATAGTACCGTGAGATAGCCTTCCTTAGTGATCACAAGGTCTTACTTTGGTGACCCATTCAAAATGAAACATAGTTCTCAGTTAAACCAAAAAAAAAAAGAAATTTATAATGAATCTTCATTTGTTTGAACTAAATTCTCTCAGAATTGAAAAGCAAAAGTCATTTTAATTTTATTATATATATTCTAATGATTGGAATAAAAATATGGTAATGAAAAACATTAGTTCACCAGGACTTATATTTTAAGAGCAAGTATCATAACTACCAAAGGATATTATATTTTGGAAAAATATCTTAATAACTTCAAAAGAGAAATGAAACCCTGATTTCATAGATCCTAGTTTAAGTGTTCACTTTTCATTATTTATTTATTTTTATTTTATTTTAAAGAGAAAAGAAGAAAATAACAAAAACAAAACAACACAAAAACTTTAAGAAATGATACAGAATTTCAAAACAAGATGATAGGAAATCTACAGTAGTTGTTGTGTTACTTACTGTTATCTTCAAAGTAGTTACTTAGATTACCAGATATGGGCATGCAAGATTGATCAAACAATTAAACATTAACTGTTTCTTTCAGTATCATTTTTAGCAAAAACTTGAGCATTTGCAATGATGAGATAAATTATTTTTCACTCAAGTGTCATTGGATCTGATAGCTGCAAAATTTGAATTAGTGAAATCTAAATTAATTGATGTATTGATATGTCCAAGGAGAAAAAAGAAAAGTGAATTCATATTTAGAGAAAAATAAATATTTGTGAAAGAAAATTGAGTGGTGTTTCAAGAACTGGATTCAGCTACCAAGAGAAATGGTGTTTCCCAAATAGGGGAAAAAGAAAATATGTCTTATATGGATAATAATTTGGAAAAATATTAAGTTTTCATAGGATGGGAACAGGACTGTGTAAGCCTATGGCAGTGACCTTGACTGGGAGCCCTGTGGCAGACAATGTGGACATAGTCACTTATGTTACAAAACTTAGTGTAGCATGAAACAAGCAATCACACACAAAGAAGATAAGCATGATGCCAGGAAGGGACAGATTGCTCCTGATATCCATTAATTCTTCACCTAGAGGAAGCATGGTGGGAGTTAACCAGATGAAGAGAAGAGGAATGTTTTAGGCAGAGGCCATGGATATAACAAAGAGCTTGACTTGTTCAAGAAACAGGGTGAAGTGAGATTTTCAGCTGAAGATGTGGGACTCTACTGAAGGGCCGTGAGCAGGACAGCAACAACATAGTTTTACATTAGAAAGACAATTTTAAATACAGAGTGACATGTGAATTAGAAACTGGATGTTGGTGGCTGTTATAGTAATATGGACAGGAGACAATGGACGATGAGCTGACTCATGGTAGAGCAGTGGAGATGGAGTGCTGGAGCTCATAGGAAGTGATGGTTGAATGCTATTCAGGCTGAGAGAAGAGTCAAGGACAAACAGCCACGTTGACACAGTGCTATTCTCTGAGATGCATCCACCCAGCCTTATGAAGGTGAAGAGTTCAGACATGGAGATGAAGAGCTTATGAGATATTCAAGTGAGGGTGGTGAGTAGTCACTGGGAAATATGAGCCTGGATCTCAGAAGACACATGGAAGCCAAGTAGAAGTGGGTCCGAGAAAGAACACTGAGGAGGAGTCATGTTTCAGGGACAGGGAGAGAAAGAAGATCCTGCAAAGGAAGCTGAGAAGAAGCAGCCCAAATGGTTGGGAGAGAATCAGGAAGTGGGGCCATGAGGGCCACTGTAGTGTTTCAAGAAGGAAGAGAGTTAACAGTGTCAAATGCTATCAGTAGATGAAAGGAGGTCCACCAACTGTCCCTTGGCTTTACTTCCGAGAAGGCTGGTAAGGTTGGCAAGGGAAATTTCAGTGGAGAGTGAGGGCAGAGGCAGTTAGTGTTGGCTGTTGGGTGAGTATTAGAGGTGGAAAAGAACAAAAAATACAGGCTACATTTCTGGCAGTTTGAACAGTGAAGGACAGGAGGTAGAGCAGAACCCAGAGAGGAATGTTGAGTCCAGGGTGGTTTGAGTTACATTGGTTTTAGATTTGTTTGCTTGTTTGCATTGACAGGGCAGAAGCTGGAGAGGTATGTGAATCCACAATTTCTTTTTGGTTTTTTTGTTCATTTTCATTTAATATTCATGTAAACATTTATTGAACATTTACTCTGTACAAAGTCATAGGCCCTATGGAAAATACAAACATTAATGAAGCTCTGTTCTTTCTCTCAAAGACATTGTAATCTGATTTGGAAATAATATGTAATAATAAAGTACTTTTGGTAAGTTAGTAAATAAGGTAGCTCAGGAATAGACACAAATATCAACAATATAACATTTTTAAACATTTTATTTTGTTGAATAAAGTTACAGGGTATGATGT